GCGTCCTACTAGTCCCTGGCGACCACACTGGCGCTGCGTAGTTCAAAACCGGCCGGCCTATTGCCTTGTATGTTGCCAGCAACGTTTCTTTGTCTTTGCCCCAAGTACTGCCGGCTAGCGACTTGAGGACCTTGTTGCGGCTCTGTACTTTATTGACAATAGCGGTTGAGTGCGCAGAGAAGGAGAGCAGGCTGTCGAATGTTACTCCGAGTATTTTGGGGTTATTCACCGTCGGAATTGGTGTGTCATCGACGTGAATCCCCAGCGGTAGCCTGACCTCCTTCGTCCAGGTTGTGAACAGGGTCGCGGAGGATTTCGTAGGGGAGAGGGCTAGACACTTTGCAGTGAAGAAGCGAGAAAGTTCGAAGACATAGCCGTTTACTTTCGAACACAGGTCATCAATTCCATTCCCAGTCGCCATGATCGAACAATCGTCGGCATAGGAGACAATCGAGACTCCCTCTGGTGGTTGAGGGAGCTTTGAAATGTAAAAGTTAAACAGTAGCGGGGAAAGGACACCACCCTGAGGAACCCCCTGTTTTATTTTTCGCTGCTTACTCGTTTTGTCTCTAAACATTACCGACGAATGTCGACCACTCAGATAATTTGCCGACCACCGTTTGAGCCTCTGTGGGAGAGAGGAGGCCTCTATATCTTCTAGTAGCGTGGAATGGCAGACGGTGTCAAACGCCTTTGACAAGTCCAACGCTACTAGAATCGTTCTCTCACAGGGACGGTTACGGTTAAGGCCACGAGTTATCTGAGTGTTTATGGCGTTAAGTGCTGTTGTTGTACTGTGCACTTTACGGAAACCATGCTGATGCTTCGCTGGGGTCAGGTGGTTTGTGAAGTACGGGAGTAGCAAGGCCTCGAGTGTCTTCGCTACCGGGGAAAGGAGTGTAATCGGACGATACGAATCTCCTTTGTTGGCAGGTTTCCCCGGGTTGAGCAGTGGGACCACTCTCCCCACCTTCCAGATGTCTGGGATGATGGGAGTGGCCATTGACAAGTTGAGGACCTCCGTTAGGTACGCTACCCCCGCAGGACCCAAATCAGCATCAGCATGCATATTCCGTCGGGACCCATGGCTTTGGAGGCTTTCGCCTTCCCGATGGCCACCTGAACTTCACCGCAAGTGAAAGCAAGGGGGGCACAAATTGTTGGCAGTTTGTGCAGCCTTCTGGTCACTCGACGTTTGGCTTTGTCCACCGGAGGATGCAGTATGAACTGCCGGCTAAAATAGCTCGCGCATCGCTCCGGGTCCGACGAGGCATGGTCGCCGAAGGAAATTTCGACTCCGTCGTCGTGCTTCGTCGGATTAGACAATGACCTCACGGTTGACCAAAGCTTGCTCACACCAGAGGTGAAATTACAAGTCTTCAGATGCTCCTCCCACTTCTTCCGCTTATGTACGTTTACAAGTTGCCGAATCTCCGCGTTGAGATCCCTGATACGGGGATCTCCGGGATCGGCCTGACGAAGGCTATCACGCTCATCGGCTAGAACAGCCGCTTCGGCAGGGAAGTTTGGACGTGGGTCCTATATACATCCTGCCGGTATGAAGCGAGCTGCAGCAGCAGTGATAGCCCTGCGGAACTTACGTTCACCGAGATGGAGGTCGGTTGGTGTGGGGAGCGCTGCGAAGGTGTTTTCGGTAAACTCCGCGTAACCTTTCCAATCAGCTTTAGAAAAGTTGATATAGGTCCGGTGTTTGGCGGAGGCAAAGTCGGTTGGTTTATCAATCGAGATGACTATGGGTAGATGGTCTGATGCTAGAGTCAGCATAGGTCGCCACGTTATGCTGTTTATCAGACCAACGCTGACTATTGTGATGTCTGGCGAGCTACTGCAGTTACCCATAATCCTGGTGGGTGCGTCGTCGTTCATTGTGCAGAATGTCGAATCGTCTATCTGCTCAGCCAAGTCTGTTCCCCTACGATCGTTTGACAGGCTTGAGTGCCAAAGATCGTGGTGCGCATTAAAGTCACCTACTACCATACGGTTTTCACCTCTGAGGAGCGCACCTATATCAGGGTGATATCCTGCCGGGCAGCAGGTGACAAGGGGTATGTATATGTTAAATATTTCGAGCTCGACATCGCCTGACCGGATAGCGATGCCCTGACATTCTAGGGTGGTATCCCTGCGGTCGATGTCTGCTTCGATAAGACGATACTGCACGGTGTGGTGCGTGATGAACGCTAAGCCACCACCATTATCTCGCTCGCGATCTCGACGGTGCACGTTGTACCCGGCGCAATTCAACAAAGTTGAATTGCTGTGCAACTTCGTCTCTTGGACCGCAGCTATTAATATACCATGCCGACACATGAAGACGGTTATCTCCTCAATCTTGCTCTGTAGCCCGTTACAGTTAAATTGAAGGAGCTTCATGTGGTTCGGGAGACGTGTCGTGATGTGGGGTGTTAGTGAAGTGTATGTTCTTGCCGCCGTTGGCTGTGTGTGCTGCTGTGGTGATTGCCGCCCTGTGGTGGTGGTGGGGGGCGTCGCAATTGGAGTCTGCGACCGAGCAGCGCAACACGGGCCCTCGAAGTTCCCCGTCCAATCTCGCGTGGTACGCAGACCTGAGCATGCCCTAAAGTGGCACCAGCCAAGGCAGGTGTTGCACTTGACTGATGTCACATTACGGAATATCCTGGTCTGACATACCGTGCAGATTGTAGGGGGAACCAGGAGTTGTTGGCGGCGGCGTGTGGGTGGTGGTGCGGTTGTGTGTGTTATGTGGTCTTTAGTGGCTGTGGTACGGTCTGTGGTGTTATTATGTTGTTGTGTTGTGGTGACTGTGTGTGGCTGCTGTGTGAGTGTGTGGGGCTGCTCGGGCGGACTATGGTTAGCCGTGGAGGCTGCTCTGTTTGAGCAACAGGGGGCCACGTACGACGTGGTCCACTGTCTATGTGTCCGTAGACCCGAGCAGACCCTGAGGTGACTCCACCCCTCGCAGGCATTACACTTGACTGAGGTGGAGTTGTGGTGTAATCGTCTTCGGCATACACAGCAGTAGAGGTGCAAAACTATCGATAGTCAGACCATCGATAGTTTTCGATATTATTTTCAAAACTATCGATATATCGTCGATAGTATCGTATTTATATGGTTTTGGCTCAATTTTCGTATGAAGATTTCCTTAAGAATATATTTCGAAACTACGTTTGGATATTCTTGTAAACTACTCTACACTTTTTTTAATTGTTTAACCGTTAAGTTAGAAGTAAAGTTATTGAAAATTTGAAATGAATTGAAATGGAAAAAAATTGGGCATACTGAAATTTTATATTTGTGGTTTTAGATATCCTCCGTCATATATAAGGCATTCCTCAAGTAAATTTCAATTTTAGAAGAAGAACCCATTTTTTATCTGAGAAGTAATGGTTTTTATTTACCTTTTCTTAAATAGTAAATAGTGGTGCGTAGATAATATTGAAAGTTTTGGTATAAATTAATTTGTATCAGTTTTTTAGCGGTATTTTAAGAGAGATGCAAGGTTTTCCGTCATTTTCGAAATTTGACATTACTCTTTTAAAAAAGTAGCAACCAAATTTTTAGTTCAACTTGGATGTTTAAGAGAAATGAAAAGAAAAGAAGTAATAAAACTAAAATAAATACTGAATCACATGTCTGTCGGACTATCGATAGGACCAAAAAACAATCGATAGTAGGGAAAAATAAAAAACATCGATACTATCGATAGCGCCATCGATAGTTTTGCACCTCTACACAGCAGGTGTATGTTTCTGGCCCAGGGTTTGACTCGATGCCAGCCCTGAGTAGGAGAATGCGTAGTGAATGTAGCCCTATGGACGGACAACTTCTAAGATACTTCGCCGACCTAAACGGGGTTAGATCGCCGAAACAACAGCCCTTGGTCGGGTGAAACCCCGAGTCATTCCGGTACGTAGAACCGGCTGTCGTGGGAATGGTACAAATTTACTGTTTTATACTGCTTATCTCTAGAGGTGTTCATGGTAGAGTACTGGGACTTGGTACTGGGGTATGTAAAATCAATTCTAAATTCATGGAAGAAGATTAGGGTTATAAGAAAAAGGGGCGTGGCACTTCCAGTACAAATTTACTTTTTCTTGCCACATATCCCTGGAAGTGTTTGTGGAAGAATACTGGAACTTGGTATGGAGTTGTGTATACAAAATGTATCAATTGCTCATGGAAAAAATGTGAGTTATTAAAAAAGAAAGCATGTCGCCTCCCATACATACTAAAAACTTCTTAATACATATCTCTGAAAGGATAGAAAATCTCTCGAAGTATTTTAAATTTGTTATGGAGATTTATTTTATAAGTGCCGTACTGACAGAATAAATTTCATTAAATGGAAAAGGGAGAGCCGGGTTCGGCCTTATAATCTAAAGCTCTCTTTAGGCATTTGCTACAGTAATGAGAAGTGGTATTTTATCAAGGCCAGGTTACTAAATTTGGGTTGGAAATATTAGAACCCGACGTGGCACCTCCAAGAAGGTTACACGTTCAAGCGTCGTATACCTGGAATAATTTTAAGGTAAACTTAGAGAGATTGATATCTTTCGTATGCCTAGCGCGCATACGAGATTTTATAATTTCATAGTTTTAAACGGCCTAAATACCTTAACTCGCTTAAAAAATAACGAGCTATAACGAAATGGGCACAGAAATAAAATCTAACATTAAATTATTTTTCATATTTGTATAAAAGCGCGGGGTGAAACCCGCGGGTATAAGCTAGTATTCTTATAATACCAAAAAAAAACAAAAACGAAGTGCAATTCCGAAAAACCGTCCAAAGTGTATTTTTGTTCTATAATTATCTACAGATTCCCACAATTGTCTTCACTTTCCAGAAAATCAATGAAAAATCATTGACACAGTTGGCGTGGTTTGACTCATATGCCTAAAAAACTTAGTAAATAAGCCAGCACCATAGTACTTTAAACCAAACTTAAATAACTAAAAAATGTATTTATTTTGAAATTGTTTATATGCTCATACAGGTTTTCCCTAATCAGGAGGATTTATTTTTCAAAAATCTTGAAGTGCAATTCAATGACCCCCATGTGGAACGTGTGCGCCGGTATGTGTATAAATACTTTTCAGAAGCATAAATGTATATTTGGAGCTCCAGCTCGGGTGTCGTTTTCTATCTAATATCTGCCTTCACTTTTTTATTTCTATTGCAGCGCACACCGCAATGACATGGAGAACATTTTACCCTACTTCACTATGGCACTTTTGTATGTTTCCACTAACCCAAATCCAACTGTTGCGTGCATCCTTTTCCGCATTGTGGCAATCGCTCGAATATTGCACACTCTGGTTTACGCCTTTTATCCGGTACCGCAGCCATCACGCATCATTGCTTTTGGCGTGGCCTTCGCCATAACAATGTACATGGCCTGCGCCGTGGCATTGGATATGTTATCAAATATTTAAGTATTTTGGAGTGACTTGTTACAGCAGCAGTTTATACGTACATACATATAAATAAAATTGCCTGATGATTTGTTTTAAACAAGTTTTAATTTCATTTCTATTCATAATGCGATTCTCACACATTAATTGCATTCATTGGCTGATTACATAATAACAAGTAACAAATAGATTATAATTTACAAGATATAAGCGTATGCATTCGTTGATGGCATGCCTAGGCCTGCATAAAAGAGCTCCCAACTTCCAGAGACAAAACTATTTATAAGTTTAACTTAAGTAGCATTCGCAACTGTATTAGTCAATACATGTCGATAGTAGTTTGTTTATATGTTAAAGCCTTGCGCTCGCATGCATTGCTTATGCGCCTCTATCAAACCTGTGCAGTTTTCCTCGCCACGCTCTACAATGCTACAAAGAGAACAAAACCAATATGTAACCATGCCAATGGAATACAAATCACTAACTAACCATGCGTCACGGGCTTTCTTGGTTTCTGGACAGGCACAACATGCTTTGCACTTGGGTTTTTCCGCGGGTTGTGAAGCGCCAGTGACACTATTTGCGGCTGCCTGCGCTACTTCTTTTACTGGTGCATTCCCCATTATGGTATCTATAAACTGTTCAATATATGGTATGAAAATATTTATTTGGTTTATTTACATGATTCAAAAGCATATCACACATATTTTTCAACTTTATACCTTCTCAAATCACACTTCTTAGAAATGCAAACAAAAACATCGATTCATCGGAATCATCGATGTTTGCTATTTGATGTATCGAATAAAACCGATGTTTTGGACCTTCCGATATACATTGATATATCGATGTATTTGTTTTCAATGCATCGACTTTTGTGTACAATGTACACTGTACATACTAAAATTATATTGTACAGCAGTGTTTGCATTATTCAACTTTGCGTTCAACAATTGCGTTCAACTCAACGCAGGGTTGCACGAAAAAAAAAGTTGAATGGCTAAATGTTGGCTGGCGACCAACTTTGTTGAAAGCGATTAGTTGAAAGGCCATTCAACCAAAAGTTGAATGCAAAGTTGAACAATGCAAACACCTTTTTATGGCGAATATTTTGATATTTTTTCATATTTTGATATTTTTAGCCATTCAACTTTTTTTCGTGCAACCCTGCGCTGAGTTGAACGCAAATGTTGAACGCAAAGTTGAACAATGCAAACACACTTTAAGCTTCCCAACGCTTCGCTCTAGTAACTATTCTAATTTATGGGCTGTTTTTGTTTACGCGTAAAAGTACATTTAGCGCATTTAGCTATAAATGCTACTCTAAATGTACATTTATCCATACTAAATTCGTCACCTAAATGCCACTTAATGCAACTCCATTTCTGCATTAAAGCGGTGTTTGCATTGTTCAACTTTTCTTTCAACATTTGCGTTCAACTTAACGCAGGGTTGCACAAAAAATGTTGAATGGCTAAATGTTGGCTGGCGACCAACTTTGTTGAAAGCAATTAGTTGAAAGGCCATTCAACCAAAAGTTGAATGCAAAGTTGAACAATGCAAACACCTTTTTATGGCGAATATTTTGATATTTTTTCATATTTTGATATTTTTAGGCATTCAACGCAAAGTTGAACAACGCAAACATACTTTAAGAGTGTAAATGCTAAAAGCAACCCTGTGATCTTCAACAATTTCCACGATTGGAACATGGTTCAATAAGAAAACTTGGCAACATTGCTTTTTCGCGTATACAATTGCTAGCTGCGTTTCAGTGATCGCCGATAGAGATTTCATTTATTATTTTACATTATTTGGAAAAAGAAAATATGCGAAAATTCGACATCGATGTGATACTGATAGAAATTTGGCTCAATTTGAGATCAAATCTGTTTGTTTTTTTTTCCTATTAAATTGAGGAAATTTCAATTGATGGCACCGACACATGAATCTATACACAAACAAGTTTTCGGTTATGGTTAAAGCTATTCAAGTTTTTGTATTGAATTTTTTGTTTAAAATTTCCTTTCCCCTTTTCAGTGGGGTTTTTTGTACATTATCTTCTCTGTGCGAATTATTTTTAATGAGGTTAGGTTACGCCAGGTCAAGATTGTTCACAAAATTGTGTTTCATGAGAATTTTTCTTGCTTTAACTTACTCTAGTTTTTGTTTCATGAGCCTGCGCTAAGTGGAACTTAAAGCACAATTTTCTGCACCAGCTTTTTTCACGGAGTAACTTAGAGCAAGCAACCGTTTTGAGAATTTCTGCCTGAAAAGTGTTTCATGAGATTTGTGAACTGAGTTGCTCTAACTTGCTCCATTGTTTTTTTGGCATCTGCTCAATTCTGCTCTAACTTCAGCTGCTCTTTTTTCGGTCTCACGCCGTAAATGTGTATTTTTCACTTGCTATACAGTTCAAGGCGAGCGTGAGCGGGAACGTTCGCAAAGACAAAGAATTCCATTTGTATTCTTATGGACGCTCACACACATCTGTATAAACTAGTCGTTCACATGCGAATGCTTTGCGTATGCACACAGTTGAGTGTGAGCTTCAAAAAAAGGAATATTGTGCATTTTAAATTAGTTTTTATTCTATAATTATTAAAGATATTTTAATTCTCTATCTGTTGATGTATCAACTATTGCTTAAAGTTAAGTAATAACGAAGATATTGGTCAAAATAAAAAGGTCACGCCCGCAAATAATAATAATCCGACGACGGAGATTAACTTTTTTTAATTAATTAAAGAGATATTTGCAAAAAAAAACAGTTGCACTTTTGCATTTCACGCAAATAAATGGAGTAAATGAACACAGCTTAACACCAAAGAACGTTGTCCCCTTTCAGACACGTCAAGTCTTGCTTTCAAGTCTGCTCGTTCGTTGGCGAAGGAGGTGAGAAGAGAGGGGAAGAGTACAGATACCTCCGTACCGTCAATTCGTTTCAAGTTTTCTTGTCTCTTTTGATCTTTTCGTTGCTTCCCATTTAAAGAACCAAGGACTTGAATTCAATTAAAGTTGACGCGTGTGGAATCAAATAGAAAACACAAAAGAGAATGCGAAAAAATTGCTTTCAAGACTTGACGTGTCTGAAAGGGGACGTTGATAACAAGAAGGGACAACTCGTTATAATTGTAGCGAAAGTGCGCAACAGGGGCGTGCCTTCTCTTTTGCCCTAGTGCGTTTTTTGATTGGATGAAAAGAGAAGGCACGCCCCTGTTGCGCACTTTCGCCACAATTATAACGAGTTGTCCCTTCTTGTTATCAACGTTCTTTGTTAACACGTATTTATGTGTTTTTGTACATTTGTGATGTATTAAGTGAAACATATCTGCAAAATTGTTTATTTCGACGTAGGCGGCCTGCGGCCGCTCTTAGGGATTACAACCCTCTCTACGTAGAATTCTCTTTCTGTTTTGCGGATAAAAGAAGCAGAACACCTTGTGGGACTAGTGTGAACACACCTTTACGTTAAAGTGTTAACACCCCATAATACTGTTACGATTATCCTCGAAACCTTGAGGGATTACCCAAATATACTCGGGGAATTGTAGTACAATTAACTTTATTGTTCAACAAACAATTCACAATACTTGTTAAAGCAATAACAACGCTTTACTACTTGTTAACACA